CGGTGGGAGATCTGGGGGTGCTGCACGCGTGGATGTCAGCTTTGGGTCTGTGGGATGGGTAGGAAAAGCGGGGGGAGAGGAATTTGGAAGCCGCAGCTCCGTGTGGTGCGACTGTGTTTCGGTGGTGGATGAAGAAATGTCTCCTCGCTGTTCCCAGCCTGCCTTTCAACAGGTTAATTGTTCCATTAAGGCAAATGTCTGGAATTAGCAGGAGCTGGTTGCCGGCCTCTGCCTACACCGTCTCTCGTGTGCCAGCGCCGGATAGAGGTCGCAGGGCGAGCTCTGGAAACAACTTTGCGAGGCCAGGTAAAAGGAAGTGGTTATGCACCCGCAGCCCTCGCCCTGGGCTGTCACAATTTGGGGGGGTGATGCAGCTTGGACCCCCCTGAGACGGGGTGGTCACCCTGCACCCAGACGGCGTCAGGGATGGACAGACAGCGAGGAGGAGGAGGATGTGGCTGCCCGCAGGTGCGATGTGGAGCGAGGTGCCGAGAGGGTGCCTCTGGCCAGCGATGCTTGGAACGTCAGGTCTCCCGCTGCCTTGACTTTTCCTGCTGTGGGTTTCCATGGGTCACGCTCCCGTGGCTGTGCAGCGGGTGCTGGGAGCAGGGCAGAGCCGGCGCACGGGCAGCCGTGATGGTGCGGGGAAGCGCTGGTGTCCCGGGGGTGCTTCCTGGAAAGTCTGGCTGTGTGGCTGCACACGAGGCCTTTGAGCCAGCGGTGACGGCAGGGACGAGCTTGGGGGACGCTTGGACGGCTCCTGGCATCTTCTGCATCCTCCTGGGAAGCACTTGCCTGTATTTTGGGAGGCAGGTGAGAGGGTATTTTTGCTCTAAACCTCCTTCTATAGTCTAATTGCTCTTGTCATCTCATTAACTGAGCCAGAAAGGGATTGTCCTTCTTGGTGGGATAATATGACTCTGGAAAAGCTGGGAAGTCAGTGTGTCAGAGGCAGGGAAGAGTCGTGGATGTGCCCAACTATGAGATGGCAGAAATCCATGGAGGGCCTGATCCGGTGCCATGCTCAGGAAGTTCAAGTTGTCGTTTGAAGGCAGATTAGCCTCCATGGATCAAGCACGGGCATCACCCATAAATCACAGCTTCCTGTGCCCGGTGCCAGTGCGGTGTCCGAGGCATTTCCGTAACGGATGTCCTCTGAGCCTGGACACCTCCTCGCTGCAAGGCCTTCAGGGACTTTCAAATGCTGCTGGTTTTCTGCAAGGTCCGGCTCCTTCAGTCCCTCTTATCCCCTTGCCAACCTCAGATTTCATCTTCTGTCCTTCCCACAGCCAACACAAATTTGGGTCCCGCATAGAAAAATTACTAATAATTAAGACTTTGAGTTTACAAAGTGCTGTGGAACTGGAGATGCTACTTTTATCCTTTTTCTATGGAAAAGTGCAATTCTCAGCGGCTGCAGGGAGACAAGGGAGTTTGTGTCCCGCAGGCAGTGGGATGTGAGGGGACAGGGAGCCTGGCTGGCTGGGTGGAGGGGGGGCTGGAGGGCAGAGTTTGGAGCGGTTGCAGTCTCCTCTGTCCAAAGATTTTTGCATATCTGAGGTCAGCTCGCATGGAAGAGTTGAGCTAGTTTGTGGGCTTTCAGCCAAACCCGTATTAATTAAGGATGGTGGGAGGGGGGGACGTAGGGAGTGCCGGGGGATTTCCCGTGAGTCCTGCAGCCCTGGAGGGCTGGGGACTTATGGCTGGGCTGCCTGTGGCACACCTCAGCTCTTTCTCATCTCACACGCAGAAATCTCTGAGCTTTTATGAGCAGCAGGAGAAAGAGGTAATTTGTGAGGCGCTTGGGAATCTGCTTCTGGTGTGCTTCCCTCCGCCCGCAGAACAGGAGTAAAATGTGAAGTGCCCACATAACCCTTGCATGAGGGCAAATGCATCGTTTTCAAACGGCCTCTTCCACTGAGGCAGGACGATTTCCCTCTTGCACCGCCCTGATACCCATCTCTGAAGCACTGGTGATAACCTCCGAGATCCTAACAACAGGTTGACTTGTTTTCTGCCACCTCTACCTTTGCAGCTGCACCACAACTCTTGCACAACACCCGCCTCGCAGGGCCCCGCTCCACTGCAGCTATTCCGCTCAAAAATAGTATTTCCTCCTTTTCTGCATGACATCTTTCATTTGTGCCGGCTCCCCGTCTGGCACCTGCGCCAGTCGCCCCGCTTCCACCGGACAAACCCCACCGGGTTCAGCTTGCATCCTTTCGGTAACCGCCGCCACCATCCCTAAAATGTGGTGAGGGGGCTCTGCCCAGGCGGAGGGATGTTCCCTGCCCACCCCCCGCTTTCGGTGCTGCTTTCGCTCCTGGCGTGGGGCTGGAAGTGATGGTGCCGGGACCCGTTCCTCTAAGGCGGCCCCATTACGGGGGTGCTGAGGGGCTCCCCTCGCCGTGGCTCCGCAGCCTGTGCGAGGTGGGTGGGGGCTGCTGCCGAATCAAAGCAACCTGCACCCACTCCCGCTGACTCAGCGCCGCTCCTGTGGGGCGGCAAAGCGATGCTCAGGCTTCCCCGTGTCTTGCACCCACGGGGGACACCAGCAAAGCCCACTCACAGGCACTGCGGCTGCCTGGGGCTGTCACTCCCGTGCCAGCGGTGTGGGGGCTCGGCACGGCATCCCTCCTGCTTCTGCGAGGGGGTCTGCGTGGTGGCTGCCCAGGAGGTCTGTGTTGTAGCCCAGCTCCACTCCTCTGCGGCTGCTGCGGATGAGGTGAGCTCAGAGGCGACCTCCTGGCTTGCCCCAGCTGGGGGGCAGCGCTGGGGAGGGTCCGTGCCGGTGGCAGACCTGGTGACAGACCTGGTGACACGGCTTGGCCCCGCGGCGATGGGTCATTGTTTTCCCTGCTGACTCGGCATCCTGGCTGCACAGATTTTCTGCTGGAGTTGCAGATTGTTTTCCATTTCCTGGGAGCATGCTTGGCTCTCTCTAGCGCGCGGTCTGCTTCGGGATTATTTTTTGTTAACGGTTCCCAGGGACCTGGTGTCTCGCATCATGCCCTTTGTGGCTACTTTGTCCTCGTGCCGGGGGCCGAGCTGTGCCACGGGGCTTCCCCACGCTGCTGAGCTCTCCGGAGGGCAGCTCGGTGGGACGTGACTGTTGCTGTGATGGGGCAGTTTGGGGCTCAGGGCTGTCCCTCGGCATCAGTCTGTTGGTGACCGTGGTGCCCTGTGCCACGAGTGGTCCCGGAACCAGGCCGATGAGCAGTGTGCAGTGATTGAGTCTGTCTGCAGCTCCTGGGTTTCCAAGGTCTTGCAGTTCCTCGCTGAGCTATTTCGGTCGTGCTCGCTGGTCTGGTCTGCCCTGCACCCCTTCTTGTCACAGAGACGTGCTGGGGGACGTTGGTGCTTGGCAGCGTCCCCACCGGGCAGGCGTGCAGCAGTAGACGTTTGCCTTCGCTCCTTGTGCATTAAGCCGAGGGCTGGGAGGCAGCAGGAGGTTTGGGCAGGTTGGGAAACTGGACTTGCAGGAAGCTCGGCCGGTGGCCGTGGGACATGATGTGAGGGGGGTGCTGGATTGAAGAATGAAGCCCGAGACCCTCCGCCGAGCATCCTGTGGATCTTCGCACCTTTTGTACTCCCTGGCCATGGTGGGGGGTGGGTCTGGGGAGCAATCTGCACCTCCACGATGGGGAACACGCTTCTGCAAACACCTCATTTTTTAGCGAGAGGAAGCAGCTAACGTGTTTGTTGGGTCAGTCCTGGTAGATTGTCCCTTCCCTCTCTCTCTTGCAAGCTTGGATGGGGGCTGGGCGACTGCGCTGGCATCCTGGCACGTCGGGCACTGATAGGTGGAGATGGCTGTGGGCACAGGAACAGCCAACTCCCTGGGGATGTGGGGCTGTGGGAGCAGAGCACCCACCTCTCCCTGCCCGTCCCTTCTCCGCAGGGTGATGCGAGAAGGAGCCCGGCATGCCGTACTTGGATCGACAGAATCGTATCTGCGGGTTCCTGGACATTGAAGAAAATGAGACCTGCGGCAAGTTCCTGCGGAGATATTTCATCCTGGACACCCAGGCCAACTGCCTGCTGTGGTACATGGACAACCCCCAGGTAGGCTCCCGCGCTGCTCCGGCTGCACGCCGGGCACGTCCGTGGCGAGTCTTTAGCTGCATCTCAGGCTCCCCAGGCAGAGACAACTTTTCCGCGTCCCCGAAGGAGGATGCTGTCTGCTGCATCAGCTGCCTGTTAGGGTCTCCTGTGGCTGGGAGGGTCCCCTTGTGAGTTCTTTGGTTCCCAGGGCTGCCCCAGCTTATGGCACTGGACCCAGGGTCACGCTGGAGGAGCCTGCAGCAGTGCTGAGCCGGTGAGGCGTTACACCTCCCTTGTGTCTTCACGTAGAGACAGTGATAGCAAGTAAGAAAAAAGGTTATCCTAGAAAAACTTTCCATCTTGGAAGTGATGTCATGCAGGAAAAGCACTTAAACCAGGAGCCGGGTGGTCGGGGGAGCTGTGGCCTGTCCCTGCGGTACCTGATGTCTCTGGGAGCTGCTCCAGTGCTTGCAGTGAAGCTCAAAAGTGCAAGAGCCAGAGCTTTAGGAGGACCCTCCTGGAAGCCCCACGGTGCTCAAGCACTGCTCATAGTCTGGGGAGGCACCTGCCTCCCGAAGAGCATCTCACAGCAGGTTCTTCATC